GGATTCTGGATACAGTATACTGGGAGTACCCTACTGTTCTGACAATGTCCGTTTGCTTCATACTATTTTTTAAATAATCGAACAATTTGACGCCCTATATCTTTTAGCACGTTTCTAGGCATGACTCTGCACCAAGTACAGAGAAATTGTCTGAACAAAGCGTTGATCTGTTTCGAAACAAATTATACCCAAAGCACACCATTTTATACAAAACAGAACTGTAAGTGTGTTTTGACGAACAAATGCTCAAAACAACTTATACGAACCAGAATAACAACTCGTACATGTTTATCCGATCATAAGCTACCTTCTCTGTTACTACTCGGGCATTTACTCAATAACTACTCTATGCATCTAGACAATAACATCATTATAGAACAGTAAGCAAAAATTTTGGTCAAGACTATACTAAGAAAAGCTATGCCTGCATTAAAAAGTTAATAGTGTCCAATTAATGGACATGGCTGAAAAAGGTACATTTATACAAAAGAACTGTGGACATTAACTACCGTGAATAAAGAAACAACCAAGGGAATATTACCTGAAAATCAGTATCACGAGGAAAGATGGAACATCGAAGAAGGAAGAAGAGATCCATTAGTGTACCTGACTCTCATATAAGTCTCATACGTATAAAACATCGTTTCAGTGACCAAGATTCAAGTTGAAAAGCAGTGTTCTTTCAGGTTATGCTATTACATCGTCTAAACTTTTCTATCCTAACAGCTTGAATATAAATAGACTTGCCAATAGAGTTGAGATTACTTTTATCTTGGTATAGAAACATAAAATAATGGATTATATATAAGCTGCAAAATTAAAAGTACAATTAATACATTTAATAGTAAATACAAAAACTCATGAAAAGTTTTAGATTATAATAGACTTAAAGTATATTGAGAAGAATGACAATAACAGTTCACCTACTGGACTTATTTATATATTTATATATATATATATATGTGTAGAGAGTGTAGAGTGCCTATTACCTAAACGAACGACCTAAATGGATGTAAAGGTTT